AAATTTCATCAAAATCGGTGCAGTCGTTTAAGAGAAGTTCAGTGACATACACACTCACAGAAGAATTATATATATAAAGAAGATTATTTTCATTAATTTCTTAATTTACCCTTTCATACAGTATCAATCTTTTTAAGTTAAATAAACTCTTTTTGCGTCTGGTTAGACTATCGAACTTAAGGAGTAAACTCCAGTCATGCGTCGGAGCTAACACACACAATTTTTGAAGTTATACTTCTTTAGGCGCGTTATGAAAAAATGATGAGAGTGAAATTTGTGATGCGCGGTCGCTTTAGCGACCAACTTCATGCGTTACTTTTGTGTTTACCGCACATTAAGAAAATCTACCAACAAAATAGAAATAGAATCTCTATTTAGTGGGTGCTAACGACTGCATTGTGAAGGCCTATCAAAAGTATTTATTAATCTGGAACAACGGAACCAAAGCGCGATCCAGGAGACTACAGCGCCATCTCTTGACCATTGGTGTAGTAGAACCAAAAACCACATCTTTATTTTTGTAATAAAGTAACAGTTATAGGTATTCATATTTATAATATCAAAAGTATTTATTAATCTGGAACAACGGAACCAAAGCGCGATTCAGGAGACTACAGCGCCTAGGAGGCGCCGAACATAAGGAGTAAACTCCAGTCGTGCGTCGGAGCTGACACACACAATTTTTTATCCTCTTCCAGAGTACATTATCAAACAAGCAGTGTGTTTAAAGCAATTTTCTACACCGTTAAAAGATGACCGGAATGATGTAAGGGAATTTCATATATTATGAAAAGACTTTTTCTGCGCCATTAATCTTTTAACAGCTGTTGTTTCCCACGGCGCCAGCGTACTCATTTGTCAGTGGGTAGGGGTAGGGATTTTTTTTTATTTGGCTTCGGGACATTGTGAGAGGAATGCAAGGGGAGCAAACAAAAGCTGGTGTTCCTGATGTTTACAGAGATGTGATATCATTGTACGTCTCATGAGACATGAATACTTTGTGTAGGGGGCATAGATGAGTAGCATTATTTTTGTACCCGTCCGCGCACAGTTGCTAATATAAAGAAAGAAGAAATATTTTTTATTGACCATAACTAACTAATATTAACAGTATTGTAAACTCAATAAAAACAATAAAAAAAAAATATTTTTGGCCAACTAGGTCCCTGCCTCAGCTTGATACTGCAGCAACACCAGGGCTGCTGCAGCGCTGGTGATTCTGGCAGGGCTTAAGGTTGATGACACAGATTATTATTATAAAACCATACCAATGTTCACTTAAAAAAAAAGATAATAACAAAGTAGGCTGAATGTTTTTACAATCCTTAGCCTTACAGAAAAAGTACAAAAAATTTAAAAGAAAAAATAAAAAATAATGATTTATCTGTGGTAGTACAGACTACAGACTGGAACCTAAAAAAACAAAAGAAAGAAAACTAATATATAAAACTAATAATTAAATGAATTGCAAACTTATTAAACAGTAATTCTACTGCCGATCCATGCCTGTGCGCAACTATGAGATTGACAGCAAGAAAGGACAAATAACAAGAGGCAGTATGCAAGACAGAAAAAGAACAACAATAATCGGCAAATACACAGGAACCCTTTAGCTTACCCTTATGCTATAACATACATATAATATCGTGCGGAGCTACAAGGTTGTGTTGTATGAAATGTCATATAAGTATGGTTTACATTTCTGAAACCGTTTAGTGCGTAGTAGCTGTTAAAACCCTGCGGAATGAATTGCCGCACAAAAGTGTGGAATGTATGGAAAACCGGAACATATTTTATCTAAGGAAAAGTTTACTAGAAAAAACTCCACGCGGACCAGGCAGCGGACGGGACTCGAACCCGCATAGGTAACCCGCAATGTCAAATGAATACTTTTTCAAGTATTAAACATTTGAAAGAAGAAATAGCAATTATAGTACCTACAATGCGAAGAGATGGCGCTGCCTTGCAGCTTAAGGCTAGGAAAATTTCGACGCGGCTAATAGGGCCGTGGTAGCATAATGGTTAGTGCATTCGCCCGGATAGCGAAGGATGCGGGTTCGAGTCCCGTCCGCTGCCTGGTCCGCGTGGATTTTTTTCTAGTAAATTTTTCCTTAGATTTAAAAATGTAGCAGTTAAATGCTTAAAAAAGAAATAAAATCATAACATATTTCATATTTAATAAAACAAGTGTCAACGGGTTAGATGCACTAATTTTAATTATTCATTGACGTTTGGCATCTTTTACAGGAAGGCGTCGTGCGAACCTGCAAAGGATGCCAAACTTCAATAAATAAATAAAATCAGTGCATATAACCCGTTGAAACTTTTTGAAGTTATACTTCTTTAGGCGCGTTATGAAAAAATGATTAGAGTGAAATATTAAGATGCGCGCGCATCACTGTAACACAAAAATTTAACAGCTTCATGCTGTTACTTTTGTGTTCACCGCACATTAAGAAAATCTACCAACAAAATAGAAAAGAATCTCTATTTAGTGGGTGCTAACGACTGCATTGTGAAGGCCTATCATAAGTATTTATTAATCTGGAACAACGGAACCAAAGCGCGATTCAGGAGACTACAGCGCCATCTCTTGACCATTGGTGTAGTAGAACCAAAAACCACATCTTTATTTTTTGTAATAAAGTAACAGTTATAGGTATTCATATTTATAATATTTATCCACATGTTTCTAGTTTGTATATTCGGAATACGTGTTTGAGTTTCATACAAGTGCAAATCACATATGTTCTAATAAATTATATTCAGTAGCGATTTTAATTGAATATTTTGATTATTTATTCATTTTTTCAAATTAAAACTGAACTTTATTGACTGTGTCCCTTTCCAGACTTTTTATTAATTTATTGTAATTAATTATTTGCATGCAATTAAAAACTAATTTTAAACGATGCCAAAGAAGGATACCTTCTCACGCGCCTACATAAGTACACGCACCCATTTTTTTTATTTAATGGGCGATGTGCGTGAAAACCTGACAAACAAATACATTTCATATTACCAACAATATCTCTCGTGCCGTTGCCTAACCTGACTCAATCCCCTAGCCCCCGTGTTATCCTAGAACCTTACTCACCGATATTACGCTTATAAAATTATATTATAATCGTCTGAATGCACGCCAATAGATATTCTACATATTATTTTAATGCACTGATTTAGAGTTATGGCCACGCATCACTACATGGTATAAAACAAAGTCGCTTTCTCTGTCCCTATGTCCCTTTGTATGCTTAAATCTTTGAAACTACGCAACGGATTTTGATGCGGTTTTTTTTTAATAGATAGAGTGATTCAAGAGGAAGGTTTATATGTATAATACATGCATAATATAGTAGAGAAACACTGATAATTTTAGAGGTTTTTAATATAAGGTCGTAAATAAACACATTTTTTTGCGCTTACATTGCAAACGCTGGCTGAACCCAACGAGATAGATCAAAATAATGTACTACAGTATTGTACACCTTAAAAAGGTCTACAAAAAAGTCCGCGATGGTATATGTCTATCTCTTAAGGATAACCCACAATAACCAATTTTTATCCTATACTTTTTACGAGAAATAATAGATTATTTACGAAGCGATTTTAAGCAATATAACATTCATCCTTATCCAATTAAGTACCTTAAATACATTGTGCGTTTAATATAGAACAATTTGGCCCTTTAACGCATATAATTTAAATGAATATTTTCGAAGATATTACAAATTTAAAATTCAGGGACATAGCGGTTCCGACGCTATCGGGCTTGGCGGCGCGTGCCTATTGTAATTGGGTATTAGAAGAATGTCATTGTGTATAATACAAGCCTGAGAACAAAAACTATAGTCTACACTACAGCTTTACACCGAAGCGAAGCGAGGGCGGGCCACTAGTATATTATAAAACTAGCGGCCGCTTGGGTGTAGAGCTGAAGTGTAGACTACAGTTTTTGTTGTCAGGCTTGTATTGTACACAATGACATTCATCTATGATTCTTCTTATAACTGCATGCAAAGTCTCCGCCCGATCGGTTTAAAGTTGACAAAGTTTCATACAAACTTTCATTCCCTATTTTATCCCCTTGGGGGTAGAATTGATCAAAATCCTTTCTTAGCGGATGCCTACGTCATAACATCTACCTGCATGCCAAATTTCAGCCCGATCCATCCAGTAGTTTGGGCTGTGCGTTGATAGATCAGTCAGTCAGTCACCTTTGAGTTTTATATTAGATTAATTTAGTAGCTACATACCACACCGTTGACCACAAATGACGAAATAACAAATACAACAAACATGAGTATGCGATTATATATCTTTTTATTTGTTAATAATTTGGAACTTGGGTTTTACTTTCCGAGGACTTTCTGGTCTAGTTATTTGTGGCGACTGGATTCCAAGAATGCTGACTTGATATAAGCGTCGACGTGCGGTCCACGGCGACGCGAGCCAGTCTCATATAACCACCGATCGCGTCAGGTTCATTCTTAAGTCATTATAATAGTACGCATAACAGTTAGAAAATAGACATTATATTTTGGATATAATATTATTATTTGCTTTTTTTTCACTTATTGAGTATTGGCTATGAATGGTTGTTAACCTAAATCGTCGACCAAATGTCATTTTATGTTGCGTTCAGAAACTCTATTTAAAACTTTCGTTTACATATAGGATGCATGTTCGTATGTGATCTGCATGATTATTCATAACTTCTCCGGCGGTAATGCAGAGATGAGCGAAATTAAAGAGCTAGATTCTGATTAATGTTTTCTTTCACCTTCTTAAACCTTATTAAATTCATTTTATTAAAAATCTGATGTTTTGTCTCACTTAATCTTAGTAAATAAGTTTTATTAAATAGCAAAATTTTTTTGCTCACTCTACCTATTTGGTTTGAATTGACAGCCATGACGTCAAAATATGGCGCCCTGTCGGTCCTATTCTTAGTTTGAATGACATTATACAGATGTACATATATAGACAGAGGTACTCACAGTTACAGCGGTATCAATGAGGAGGTAGAGCGGTTTGTGTGCGTATGCGACGCTCGCGCGATACACGAACACTCGCCGCTCGCTCACTCGCCGGGCCTTCATCACCACCTGATCAAACATAATATGAAAATATACTTATCAAAAGAGACTTTTCAGAAGAACTTTTCACAGATTATGTTTGTTATATAGAAAGACCAACAGCTATTAATAAAAATAATAAAAAGTTAAATAATAACAAAAAGCCAATTACAGGTCTTCAGCAATAAAAACATATTACAACATAATTAAGTACACTTTTATCTCAGAATACAGAACAAACCAGAAACCGTCAATGCACTCAAAAGTGAAACCATACAAACCACGCCGGAACGGTGTGGTTCGTCAAATTATCATTTAGTCAATGGCCGATGCTCGTACTGTTTACTAGTAATTTCAGCTCTCAGTTTTAAAATAATTATGCCGTCGTGTGTCGTTCCCACTTGCAAAAATGCAACAGGATCTACGAAGAAATCAGATGGGATCACCTTTCATCTGTAAGTTGTACATTTCCAATCCATTTTATTAAAATATTAAATTTAATTTACGTAATATAATTGTCAAAGAAAATCACGCGTCCATTTTGTTAGTATTGCCACAGAATAATCGAACATTTTACCCAACTTTTTTATAACCTTTAATTTTATTGATTTAATTACAATTATTATGTGTTTTTTTTTATTCAGGGAGCCGTTTGCTAAATAGTATAAACTGCGCGAGTGTTTTAATACCATTTATGTGCGGATAATTCATTCAGATAAAACTAATATAGCCATTAATTACTCAGTTTCAAAAAGATATGCCAAAAAGGTATGTTGAGATTATAACTTTAATATTAAAACATGAATGTAGTCAAATATGTTCTTCACATTACGTTTACTAGAAATATTTTCACTTGTATTAGTTTACTTAATAAATTATGTATGTGCAGACTACAATATGTATTATTTCATTCTACCCCACCGTATTATCCATGGTATAGCCCTATCATCATACCAATTATTGAGCTGAGTCCAAGATAAGTTTCAGTAACAACTTGTGTAAAGAACTCTAGATGAACATACTTATACATACATATATATATTTTGTAAATACATACACAAGACCGAAAGAGGAGTAAAAGACCAGACTATGCAGATAAATAAACTGTTTTTCAGAAAAAACGAGCACTTTAATTTTTTTTTCTACTTCAATGAATATAACAAGAAAGAGGTATTATAAAAGTTACCTTTAATTTTAGTTATGATACTCACATCCAGTTGTCAAATTTTGTTCCTATTAAATTAAGTCAAAAGGAATGAATATATTTTACCTATTGAACGTTTAAAAATTACCATTTCATATTACTGTCATATTATACATAAAATTTTAATTTTACCCCAAAAGCGGTAATGTTATGTTGCGCTGGTAACACTACGCGGGTGGGTGCGGCGCGGGCGGGGAGTTGTTTTGGACACAATGCGCTCTGTACAAATAAGACTAAATGCTCCTTCTGGTTTTTTTCTGTATTCTGAGACTTTTATATACACACACACACATAATAAATTACAAAAAAGAGCATTGTACAATTGCCAGTTCGTCAAAAAATGCACTGCTTTATACCTACCCGTCTCAGTGATGGAACGCTAGTGTAAAACAAATCAATGCCACCTGCACGCAAGAGATACGAAAACTGTCTAAAGTTTGAGGTTGCCTGTGGAACGTTTATAAGGGGATTAAATTAAGCGGTTTTGTTGTAGCCCTAAGGAAAATCCTAGACTAAACAGTAGTGCTGGGCAATCGATAGCACCAGAAGCTATCTATACTAATATTAGAAAGAGGAAAAGTTTGAATGTAAATATGTTTGTAACGACTTGGCTCAAAAAGTACTGGACTGATTTTAAAAATTCTTTCACCATTTGAATGCTACATTATCACTGATTAATAAAGACTATAGTATATTTTCAAAAAAGTTAGGGTTCCGTATGAAACCTTCGAAAATGTAACCCAACGTGTGTAAAATTAACTAAAAAATAACCTTATATTGCGTACGCTGCGGAAGTTATTAATGACAAAGCAAAGTGATGTACTAAAGTTTTATAGAGGATACCAATATCTACAAAAAAGTCCGCGATACCATAATATGTCTAACTATTACAGTTATGTCACAACGAGAGGTCCCCTGCGGTTTCACCCGCGTTAATTTGAAGAAAAAGGTTTATAGTGAATCAAACTTAAAATATGTACATAGGCTGTCGTGGACTTTTTTGCAGAACTTTTAAAGGGGAAGAATTCCGTCATACATGATTTTTGGGTAACTTTAACCGTTTACCCAGCGCACGCAACTGAATCTCACAAATGGAATATTTTTACCCGTTTTTGCAACATTTTTAATCGATGTTCCGCTGCTACTGGTCATAGCGTAGTAATATAAAGCCTATAGCCTTCCTCGATAAATGCACTGTCCAATACAAAAAGATTTTTTCAAATCGGAACAGCAGAACAATGTTGCTTTCGGTACAACGGGTCCTAAACTACGCAACGAATTTTTTACTTGGAATGGAAGGTTCATAATTAAATAAAACTAGTTTTTACGGGTTAATGCACGAAACTTTATTTATTTATTGACGTTTCGTAGCCTTTACAGGCTACGTCGTCAGAATTAAACTTTTATTTAATTTGTCGAGCTACCTTCGAAAGATTTTTATTGAGCGTTCGGTTATTTCATTGTTCGATTTTTAAAGTTTTATTGTCTATGTATGAATTTATTATTTAATTTACTTAATAAAGTATTTTATTTAAAATTCTTTTTTGTAATTTTGAGTTTATTTATTTGACCCTAACCACCGTAAACTACCACCGGTTCCAAAATTGGGAGACCTTTCTGAGAATAACCGGCGAAACAAACTCAAGAGAGGCTTTCTATCTCCTTCTTATGTTAAATTATGCAAACAAAAAGAACTAATAGTATCTGATGGTCTTATTATTTAATGAGTGATGTGCATGAAAACCTAAGAAACAAATAGGTTTATAATTATTATAAAGAAAGTCATTGTATATAATACAAGCCTTTAAACAAAAACTATAGTCTACAGCTCTACACCGAAGCAAAGCCAGGGCGGGCCACTAGTTTTTTTATAAAATGCTAAATCTGCAATTTGGCGGCGTTTTAGCAGTGGCAACAAGTGGTGTTTCTTACAAAAATATAAACAATGGTTTAAATCGTAGTACTCTTTGTTGCGAAAACAGAGATATTTAATAAATTTTCTCTGTATGTTTTCAATGCGCGTTAAATAAGTAAGGTACAGATGTTTCACATGTATTTTATATATAAATATACTTTATATATGTACTAGTAAACCTGTGAACCAAATGTTCACCAAAAAAAAAAAAAGTATTTAATTAATTGCGAACTTCGGAGATTTTGTGTGGTTTCGTTTGAAATAGAAATCACGTGATTTCTCGAAAACCGGAAGTGCTACGTTACTCACATCCGGTTTGTAGTCTTATCAGACTATTCTTAACTTATAACTTAAACATTCTCTATATCTATCTCTTACGGTTTGGCCGCTGAAACAGCACCACGGACGGACGGACGGACGGACGGACTTGTCTAAAAGATAAGAGATTCTATCCGTTACCCTAGTATCCTATAACACAAGCCTTACAGTGCTTACTTTGGGGCTAGGCTAATTAGAGTTTGATTTTTTTTAAACCGCTGTCCGATACCATCTTTCCGGGAACCAGACGTGACCAAGTTAAAGATTTTAGACATGAAAGTGAAACAGTAACTGCTTAAAATGCTATCAGTCCCGCAACCGAGGGAAGGTTCAAAGAAATTTAAGCAACTTAAGTCCATAAGGAAGTAAAATTAAGTCGGGATGGAGTGCAGACGACTCTACCCCACCATCCAAAGTTGTAATTAACCGAAAAGTCTGTGATAAGTGCTCCTAATGGCCGCGCCCGATTTTCGTCCATAATCGTTTTGCCGACCCAGAGTTTCTTGTCCATTTACCAAAAAATATACAGCACAGAAGATAATACATACAAAGTGCGTTCAAGCAACGCTCACGGACAAGATATCTCAGACCAGTCCGGATTACTGCGAGCGTGAGTTCCAACCGCTTGATTCTGTGAGAATTTTGTGCAAAAATGGAGCTACAAAAAAAGTTATTATGCCTGTCCAGTAGACTGTTGTTTAAATTCAATATTGCATCGTGAATTGTCGTTTTTTTAATCTGTAATATAACAATAACCTTAAAATTGTATAGAATATTTTAGTTATTCATCATCAGCCTATTAATGTCCCCACTGCTGGGGCACAGGCCTTCCCTATAGATAGAATAGGGAGATTGGGCCATGACCCAACACACGGATCCAGTGCGGATTGGCGGGTGTTAACGACTGCATATGCAGCCGAGACCAACGGCTTAACGTGCCTTCCGAAGCACGGAGGAATCTGAGATAGAAGATTTTTGGTCACCCACCCACTGCGAAAGTTGCTTTATACGCTGCAGCCGAATACGCTGATCAACTGCGCCATCGAGCTCCTCATTAAAAAATAGCTATTATTGGTTTACATTTCCGTTTTTCAATTTATAATCTTAGTGCTTATAAGTGCTTAGACACGACAGGTACAAGCTGCTCCAACTCATAATGATGGGCAAGGTTGAGGGTAAAATGCGCGTGGGACGCAGGAAGAAGTCCTGGCTACGAAATATCAGGGAGTGGACGGGGATCAGTTCCGTCGAGCAATTGTTTTGCCTCGCCATAGATAAGGAGAAGTACAAAAAGTTAGCGGCCAACCTTCAATAATGAAGAGGCACTTAAAGAAGAAGAATTTATAATCGACAATAAATCAAACAACTTATTGCGATTGCCATTACCACGAAAGTTTTTTGTGCACAAGCCCAAATTGACAATCTTAGCGCGACTGCCGAGCATAGCAAGTAAATGCTTGAGATAACCTTCTGCACTATCTATTTTGTGATTTCACACTCGAGAAATAGGTCAACGCTGCATCTGACCCGCGAAGAAGTCAAAAGTTAATCACCGTAAAGTTTTTACCGAGTCTCGGTT